ATTCCATTGGTTGTTTTTGTGTCAGTTTTGTTTACACCTTTATCAATGGTGTTGTAGTGTCCTGTACAGTATTGTCTTTTATTATGTTGTTTGTATCACCCTGGCCTTCAGCAGAGAGCACTGCCACGTCCTTGAAAAGTGCTGTACAAATACAATTATTGATTATTTTATTGTCTAACAACATTCAGTACATTTAAAATGCATATGGGCAAACTATATTTCCCAAGAGCTCAATCGTGTTTGCAACACAATTGTCTTGAAGGTCAACAGCTAGGGATAATAAAAACAGCAAAGAAAAGCCAGCGGTACCTCAACGTTACGTGCCGTTGTGTTTTCTTTTCTCATTATTTTTCCTCTCCAGTTGCACCCATCTCTTGTTTGTTTTTTTGCCTTTAAACATGAATCCAAAACCGTCCAATCACATCTGTCTATTTCCTGAAAAGAGATAAATAGTCAAAATGCATGTATGATTTGAAGATATATTGTACAACTTAAACAGAAGAATATATTTATTTAAATAAAAACACAATTTATTTGGGCAATGTTACTTATATAGCACTTTTCGACCCTTCAAAGTGCTTTACATTACTTTATGTTATATTGCTTGCATTCATTTACATTCACCCAATCACACCTCATTCATAAAGAGCAGTACCATTTGCTCTAGGGAAGCTAACATTCACACACTGTTGGCCATGCCATCGGGAGCAACTCAGGGTTAAGTATCTTGCCCAAGGATACATCGACATGATGACTGCTCTGGCTGGGATCGAACCAACAACCTTCTAAAGACGACCGGACTCCCTTGCAGAAACAACCGCCTCTGTCAGTCTAAGGTAATTGTCGCCCAATTCGATTCATGTTTTATATCTATGATTGATGTGCTGTTGGCTTCCCTTCGGATCGTGCTTCAATCTGATGAACTCACAGGCTCCCAACATGCTTGGTGTGTGTTTAGCTTATCCTCTGGCAGGAGTTGTCTCCAGCTGATGTCTAACTGATACCTTGTGTACTCTTGTGTCTCGTAATCAGAGGAAGTGTGTGGCATCCTCTCGGTCCTCCAAGGGGCCTGAACCGAATAGAGTGGGACATTTGTCTGTATGAATATTGCATTTTTTCCTTCAGTCCAATGCTAAATTATTGAACAGAATGCACTTTGGAAAACAGTTTTTGTGAGGTACTTCTCAGATATCGCAAATTGTGTCCTTGTGGAGAGACCTCTGCATGAGCTTTAGAGGAGGAAAACGTGGAGGAATTCCTCCCTGCTGGCTGCAGCGCCGGCCGACTCGTCTGTCTGCAGAAGCAACAGATGGCCGTGGTCTTGGGTTGCTAGGAAACTGGTAATCAAATACTTTAATTCAGATTGATTTGGGAATCTGAGGTTTATTAAAAGCAGGGTGAAGTCTTTTGTTATTCAGATGGCAAGATTTCTCATCCTTATTTTGGTCGGTAAATATTTGATTGCCCTCGGAGTTGGATATAGACCTGGCAGCGGGCTTTGGACAGGATGTGGTCGTGTGTGTTCAAGGACGTGAAGACAAATGATTGGCGGTGTCTGACTAACAGCCACACTGGAATGAAAGGAATAACAATAAAGACATATCCAATGTGTTTGTGGGTACATTCACACTTAAGGTGATGATGCTTCATTGTCTACACGTCTGGCACCATTTTCTTTCTTGCCTGCATGATAATACTTCTATATGTTCTGGTCGTTAGCCTTTAGGTCTAATAAACATCATGCAAAGCATAATAAATTCAAGGTTAAGATGAAATATAAGCGCCAGTGTTCTTGAAAAGGTGTTTTTCACAACTTCCCGTGTTGATCCCTACAGTGGTGAAAGGTGTTCAGAAAAATATGGGGGTGTTATTGTTGAAGGCTGTGATAAGTTGGTTTTATTAAGACTTTGCAAAGTAAAGAAAAAACTGAAGATCACCAGCCATCAAAATGTGATACCTCTTGGCTTAAAGTGATTATGTTCATCTGAAAAGAAAAAAGCTGTATTACAAACTACTTACCCTTTTTTCATTCAATACATGTACTTGGTTTGTTCTAGGTCTGAATATATCTAATATTTCAGAACCATTGTTCTAATTATTAAGAGATATAACATCGTGATAATGATGTTGCTTTGAGGATCTGCAAAGCACTGCAATACTTATATTAGATATGTTGGCTTTTGATGACTTCTTTGAAGAAATGGACTCAATGGCAAATCAACAGAAATAAAATGTGCTTTTATCTTTAAATTCCCATTCGTAGGCTTGTAAATGTGTGGACCGTTATGTGTCTTATAAGACCCAGAGACACATCAATTATTGATTAAAGAAAGAAAATCTATATACACTGTAATACCAGGATTGTGCAAACAGTACACTTTTTCCTTTTGATGAACCCCTATCCAAAACAAACCAAGGCAATATATGTGCAATGAGTGTACTGGATTTAACGGTTTTAGATTTGAGATTTGAGGCTCTGGTCACTTTTTCAAAAGCCCAATTCTGGCTCAGTATTCCTGCCTTGAGAGCTGAATTGATATAAAGCAAAAACACAGGAGGGCTGGAGACTAAATGCCAGAAGATTGGCAAGCACAGCAGTCGCCAGATGTTGACTGTTTTTGCACCAGAGTTTATTTCAGAGAGCAAATTTGTTGATTTTGCCAGCAGTGATGCAGGAGCAGTTGAGCCTCCTGTGAAGCTGCAGCGCTGCAGCCGCTGCCCTCAGTTAGCGGGACAGATCACAGCCGATATAACATTTCCCTGGTGAGTTCAGAAATAGATCCAAACAGAACGCAGACTAACCACGAGGAAAAATATACCCGCCAATTGTCGGTGTTGATGCTGATTGTTCGAAAAGCCACATTTGATGTGCTATTTTCAATTTCAGCTAAAAATAAACACAAGATGTCCTGTAAAAACGGCAGACAGATGAACCATTTGCGAGGAGGGGGAGAGGAGGTATACGTGAACACACGAGTAGTTGCATATGCAAATGTGTGTCTGTATACGCGCACATCAGCGGTCCACATATGTGCACACACGGACACAATATGTACAACAACCACATGCGTAGGAGGCACACAAAGAACATTTGCATTAAGTCCAACAAAGTAACCCCACAGTCAGCATTACAAATAACTAGGGATTCATGACATGGATTTTTTTCAGCCGATACTGATTACGAATCATTACCAGCTTCTCCTGACTGATAGGCTATATGTTACAAAATAGATCCTATTAAATGTTTGTTTGTTATAAAGAATTATCATTATCTGTTATTTATGCACACCTGAGGGTAAGACACGGTAAGTATGATTTGATATATGCCACAACTGTGATCTAACCAAATCTAATTGATAACCATATTGTGAACACAACAAAGAACATTTCTGACTCTTCAATGTAAAACAACATTTACTTGTATTGGTAAAGCACATACAATTTTCTATCATGTTGAAAAATATGCATACCAGCTACAACATGGTTGGCTCTTTAGTCAGTGGTGTTCTTCTTTTCTGGGGTAACTGGCAGATTGCAAACCCATTTTGAAGTGCATACCACCACCAACTGTGTGCGTAGATGCTGCTATTGTCAAGTAAATGCAAGCCAATTGGCTTCGTAGTGTTAGCGATGATTTATCGGCTATTATTCATTATCAGAAGGATGCATAATAGTATATATTTCCGAACATAGTCGATAACTTCTCACCTTGATTTGTGCATCTATTTAAAAAAAGCATGTTCTGACAGGTTTAAATATAGTTATAATGAAATATTGAGCAGAGTCTTCAGTCCTCTAAAGTTGTCTTGCAGTGAAATGAGAAGTTGCTTCAATGAAAGTGGGTGAGGACCGAGTGAACGTCCTTAGAGAATACTGCGAGTGAGCCTTGAAATAAGAAAAGAAAGCCAAAGCACAAACATGCAAGATATGTAACCAGAGATATATTTGCATTAAAGCTTTGACGTTAAGCTCCTCAGCCAGAAAACTCCTCCTGAAGAGTCTCACTTCCTAAGCATCACTTACTCTCTGGGAAGGCTAAATCTTTTTCAATGCCCGACACCATCTGGTAGAAATCAGCTCGGACTTACAGTACAGGATTTTCCTGACTTTGATGGAATGCAAAAGCACCGTTCGTACTTTCAGTGCAAATTGCAGCCTTATGTCCAGAAGTATAGACATTTTTGGACCATTTAGTCTGACCAACATCGTCCATGCCACACTGCCAAGAGGAGACAGTTCATGTTGTACTTTTGTCTTTGTACAGAGGAAAAAGTAAAAGGGTCTCTGAGGAGTGGGATTAGCTTAGGCATCACACATCTACCTGCCAGAGTTTTGGACAGCCAGGTCGGCTTAATAGGCTTCGTCACTAAACTGTGCTCTTTATTACCTGAAGATATGGATGTTTTTTTAAGAGGGGAAAATAATGGGTTGAAGTTTCCCTCTGAAAAACATAACTGTTTCCTGCTTGAACATGTCTGCCTATAATGATCTCTCTAATTGCAAATATGGTGCAGCACACACTAATGTCATGTCCAAGAAACTTATAGTGAAAGTTTATTCTTTATGTTAGAGTTGTCATGTCCCTTTGTCTTGTGCTTTATGTCTATGCCCTTAATTATTTCTTCCTCTCATTTCAGGCCTCCACGCTCCCCGCCCCTTTCTGTCTCCTGCGTCCTTGATTATTTTCCCCGCCCTGATTGTTTCCAACTGTGTCCCCTTTACCTGTGTATATATTGTGTTAGCTCCCTCCTGTTAATTGTCAGTTCGTTGTCTCTCGAAGACCTACGTATCGGCTTACCTCACGGACCTTTCACGGACCTATGCTATAGATCACGATTCTAGTTTTCCTCGAAAGAGTGTTTTGTTTTCCTTATTTTATTACTGTGCAAAATTCCAGTAAAGTCTTTATTTTGAAACGCTATCTGAGTCTGAGTTTTGAGTCGTGCAATTGAGTTCATGCCTCAGTGTTCACCCCTTGACAGTACGAACTGACCATCAAAATGAACTCAGCCGACTCAGATCAGATTAAGAACGCTATCCGCTCTCAGGGCCAACGGCTTGGGCAACAAGAGGAGCGTATGGCCACCATGCAGCAGGGAGTGCAGAATCTAACTAGCAGCCAGAGGGAACTACAAACATCGGTGACGACCCAAGTTAATCTACTGGCAGCAGAGGTTCAGCGTGTGCTCACTCACCTGCAGGCTGTTTCTCCTCCTACGACTCCTCCGGTTCCAGCGGTGACCGGATTCGATCCCAACCGGGTTACTGAGCCGCACAGTGCTTCCATGCGTCTGGCTCCACCCGAAAAGTACTCCGGAGACTCAGAAGGCTGCCGGCCGTTCATCGTGCAGTGTGAGTTACACTATCACCACCAACCGGCTGCTTTTCCCACGGACAATTCCAAAGTGGCTTTTATGATCTCTCATCTCTCCAGCCGAGCAGCAGCGTGGGCCACGGCAGAATGGTCCCGAGGCTCGCCTATCTGCGGGTCTCTGGAAAACTTCATAGACACTATGAGGAAGACCTTCGATCAAACCACGCCGGGCAGGGAAGCAGCTCGGGCTCTGATCAAGCTGCGACAACATCAGCGGAGTGTGGCTGACTACGCCATTGAGTTCCGGACTATGGCAGCCGACAGCGGCTGGAACTCCGCTGCATTGTTTGACGCTTTCGTCAGCGGTCTCTCGTTATTTCGTGACAATCACATAGTATTGATTTAGTTCTCTGATATGTCCGACGAATTTATTCGGGTTGATCTCTGGTACATAAAGGGTGCTTTTGGGTTTGTGTGAGGTATGTTGTCGAATATATTGTGGTAATGTCCTATACTGTCTCATGTGTGGGAAACTGCTCGTATGGTGTGACCGGACACCACACGCTCTTCTTCCCGTTACGGCGAGTGCAGAAGTGTGTGAGGGGGTAAGGGGTTAATCCGGAACAGGTGGACGCTCGAGATAGAGTAGACAGGGCAGAAATAGAGAGAAGGGAAAGTAACGATATTCCAGTTACTCCTCTCATTCTTCGTCTACCACATGTCATGTAATGGTCGCGTAGTGTCACCACCCGATCTATCGTCCGGTCACTAAGTACGAATCACTCTGCACACCTACTACGCTCCTCAAAAGATGACGTCACGTTTCAGTCACCTCTCACGCGCCGCCTAGACAACTAGTGAGTCGTGATACCGAACGAAGTATTATAATTGAGTCCCTCGTAAACTGGTCGTCTCCAGAGTTGCTTCGGGCCTCCCTACCTTCCTTCCTCTTTACTCTCCCCTTCACAATCCTCTTCTTACTCCAACCTCTAATTCACTGATCGAAATTTACAGTTGTTATTGCGAGCTGAAACGTCAGATTGAAGGTGTCCGCCTACCCACGTCCCCTCTCTGTGTCCTCTCTCAGGTTACCCTCCTTTTTACGGCGTCCACTAAACACCAGACGAATACAACAAACAACACATAAACACACAAACAATAGACATAGAAAAATATCATATACATATCATTATAAGAAAGTAGACAACTCCCCACTGCCTCGGAGGTTCTCTATTAGGTCGCCGCTCGCAGATAGACTTCCCCGCCTAGTTGGCGTAGGAACCTAAATAAGAAGAGGAGAGGCAGTTTGCTAACAGATATGCATATCGGTACCTATACTGTCTCAGGTTTAGTCGCCCGTCTAGCTCTCCGCGGTCGACCAGAA